GGGAAATGGGAGGAAGGACACAGGGTAGAGCAGCCGCTATTGAAGACCTTCCCCCTTCTGCAATCTCTGTGGACAGGGACCATTCACAGTCCCCTACCCCTTCCCAGTTGGTCAGCATGTCCCAGGGGCAGGGACCCTGGCGGGGTTTCCTCCTCCAGTGAGGAGCTGGAGCCAGTCCCAAGTCCCGATGGGACAGGTGTGGAGAGGGCAGGTGGGGACATGATCTGAAAAAGACTCAGAGGCCTCAGTGGCTGGTGGAGGAGGGTGGGGCCCAGGGAGGAGCCCGAGTCCTGGGGAGAAGGTGCCCTTTGCAAAGATGAAACCAGGCAGTGGCGGGGGGAGCAGGGAGAGCACGCCTGGTGGGGGCATGTGGAGTTGAAGGGCGTGAGGGCCACGTCACCTTTCCAGGCTGAGTGCCTGGCCACCCCCCCAGGAAACCCCGGCTGCAGCTGGAATCACTATCACCTTCTCTGGCCCCCAAAACCCCTGTGCTGCCCTCATCACCCCATAGGTCCTATGGCATAGGAGCCCCTAGGCCCAGGCCTGATGCATTCTGGGTCCCCAGTCACCCAGTGCAAGGAAAGGGCACCCCAGCTGAAGGGCTCTGGGGTGGAGGACCAGCGCCCCCCACAGGCTACTCAGAGCCCGTGGGTCCATGCTGGCTTCTCGTTTACTAGTGTGACACCAAGTGAGTCATGGGATCCGGCTGCTCCGAGCCTGTTTCCTTCTCCGTGAAGTGGGGGTTTGAAGGGACTCACTGAGAGCTCTCTGAGGAGTAGAACGTGCCGGCACGTGGTCAGACTCACCAGGCCTGGCTGTGAGGGGCCCACGCCGTGGCCTGAGGCGGAGGAGGCTGCTGGGGCTGGAGCCGGAGGCGTGGGCTCCCGGGAAAATTACGCTTCAGCCTGGCCCTTCCCTCAGGGGTGTCAGTCTGACCCACAGACAGGGAAGGGCGGGTGGGAGGTCCCTCCCCAAAACTCCCAGGCAGCCGGGTTAGAAAAGGGCAGGCCCTCGGAATCACGCAAAACACCACCGCGGGCGGGCAGCCCGCCTCGGAGGGGGAATCAGAGGCGGCTTCCCAGTGGAGGGGGAAGTTCCCGTTCAAGTTCACAAGGTGACAAGGTGCAGAGTGAAGTGTCCCCACCTTTGTCCCCTGCCCCCTGGGTCCTCCCAGGACTCGGTCCCGTCTGTACCCTTGCAGGACGAGGCGATGGCTGTCCTTTCTCCCTCCCCCACCCACCTCTGCGACCGAGCACCCCGAGATCCAGGTCCTTCCACGGCAGCGCATGGAGAGCAGCCTCGTCCTTATGCGTCTGCGGAGTCTCCACCAAATGATACTCCACTTCGCTCGCCCCGCCGCAGGCCTTCCAGGCTTTTGCATTGACAGTGCAGATCCCGCACACAGCCTTTCCCACCCGCACAAGTGTCTCTGAGGAAGGCAGGCCCAGAGGGAGATGATGGGCTGAGGGCACCGTCACAAAAACAGGCCTGCCTGCTGCCCGCCGCACTGCCCTCCCCTCTGTGGGAGCCCCAGCAGCCGAGCCAGCCCGTTCCCGCCAGGATGACGTTAAAGAACAGGGGACCCAGGGGTGGGAGAGTGGCCCCCGAAGTGGGTCTGTATCGTGGGTAAGGTTCAGAGAGGGGAGCCACAATTAACGTGAAGGGAGAGGGGGACGGGGTGAAGCAGCTGCTGTGTGGTCAGGAAGGGTGTGCCCGTGCTGGGCCCGGGCGCCAGGACTGCTGGCCACACGGAAGGGCTCTGAGCTGGGCTCGCAGTCAAGTGCTCAGGCCGAGAGCATAGCATGCCTGGGTTTAAATCCTGCTCTGCCACTAATTTATTGACTGAGTCACTTGGCCTCTCTAAGGCTCATTTTCCTTATCTGTAAAATGGGTCATAAGAGCTGCTCCCTAGAGTGAGATACTTCACCCAGAGCCCCATGCTTGGCACCTACGAGGTGCTCAATAAACAGTCCCTGCGAGCCCCCGGTTGTCTTCTGCTCAGCCTGACAATACGCATGAGCCGGGCGAATGTCTGCTGCCTGCGGGTGTGAGCAGAGGACAATGCCAGTGCCAGGAAACCGGTGCCGCCCTCGGGGCCGCGGCTTGTGGCGGCCACAGCGCCTCTTCAGACCTCCGCTGTCTCATCTGACCAGCGGGGATCTGCCCCTGCATGTGTGGTGATGCTTGAACGAGGGGCCATGTCTGTATGCACCAGCCTTAGAAGCTGGTGCTGGCCAGGGGAGGGGTGCTGGCCAGGGCAACGGGCCGGGGCGGGGCGGGCGGGGCAGCACCTCCACAGCCTCCTCTGGACCAGCTGAGCAGCCGGCTGGTTGTGATAAGTGACAGTTATAAACAACCAACAGCACAGACGGCCGGGCTCCATGGAGAGCCCAGCAGGGGACCCTGGCAGAGGGACACGAGCCTTTTCTAGCCACATGACAGGACAGTCATAAACGCAGGAGTCACAAGGTCACGATGAGAAGCACACTCACTGAGTGTGTATGATGTTATTTAGCCCTATTGCCCGGAGAGAAAATATTTTCGAAACACATCTCTGTAAAGGGCTTATACCTGGAATACAAAGAATCATAAGAAAACCAATAACCCAACTTAGACAATGTGCACAAGACCTTAGATACCTCACCAGAGAAGACACCCGGATGGCAACTGAGCTATCTCCTTAGCTTCAGGGGACGCAGACTGGAACCACAATGAGAGGCCACTGCAACCATCGGAAGGAGCGAAAATGTAAAAGACTGACAGTGCCTAATGTGGGACAGGCTGCGCCACCTGGAACCCTCACACACTGCTGGCGGGAGTGCAAAACGGCACGACCCCCTGGCAAGCAGTGTGACAGTCTCCGATAAAATTAAATATACACCTACCTGCAGCCCAGCCCCTCCACTCCCAAGAGAAATAGAAACCACACACAAAAACCTGTATGCAAATATGTATAGATTTATTCTAAGTAAAACAAAGAACTCAAAAGTCCATGAATTTTGAGGACGGAAAAACCAGTTATGGAACACTGGCCAATGGAATACCACTCAGCCGTGAAAAGGGAACGAACTACAGGCACAGGCAACAACGTGGGCTAGTGTCCAGTGCATGAGGCCAAGTCCAAGAAGCCAGGCTAAAAGGTGACCTCCATCTGATTCCCTGGCAAAGGCACACTGCCGTGACACACACAGGCCGGCCGCCACTAAGGCGGGGTTACCTGCAAAGGGGCATGAAGGAGATGTGAAAGCGAACTGAAAGCTCTGGGTGATTTCTGTGGTGGTCATTGCAAAACTGTATGCATCTGTCACACATCATCAAACTTACATTGACTGGGGGGACTTCATCGCATGTAAATCACACCTTATTAAAGCCAGAGGACGAGAGAAGCCTGTTTGGTTAAGAAAAGAAGCCCACACAGCTGGGGCCATTCCTGCTGTTCCAGATGAGGAAACGAGGAAACGGGGGCTCAGCAGGATGGCGCGACGGCTCCAAGGCTGCAGCAAACCCTGCAGGAGGAGGCGTGGTGGGGGAGCCGAGGCACAGTGGGGAGCTGGAGGCCGGGCCATGCCCTGGGGGCAGCCTGGGTGGCACAGTGGCCGGCGCAGCTGAGGTTTCAGGGATTGCAGGGCAGAGGCACGTGAGGGCACTGACGGTGCTTCTCATGGGTCACCTCAATAACTGCCCCGAGCTGTGGCCCGAGAGGCAGGCGAGTCCTCAGTTCACACAGCAGAGCTGAGCCTTGGACGCCAGAGCCGTGCTCTTGTTCTGGTGACGGAAGGGCAGAGGGGAGGCCCCGAGGACCAGTGTCACTCCCCAACTCCATGTGCACCTCAGTCCACCCATTTCTCCTCTCTGGGCTTCAGCCTCCACCTCAGTAAAGTGGAGCTACAATAGCGCCACCCGCCCGCGGGGCTCCAGGAGAGAGGGGAGCCCAGGGTTGGAAAGTGCTGCCTGTGGCCTAGTCCCACCAGCCCAGACACCGGCTCCCGAGGGGGAGGAAATGGATTAGGAAGGGAGCCAGTGGGGAAAGGACACGCCCTCCTGTCCTTTGGGCCTCGGCTTTCCTTGCTGGCAGGGGAGCGAGCTGGGCTACATGACAGCTGGCAAACTGGGGCCATTTCCAGCCCCACAGACAGTCTGTTTTATTCCCAGGTGGCTTTCTCCTACCCTTTCCCCCATTTTTTTTTTTGGTTAATCCTCACCCGAGGATATTTTTCCATTGATTTTTAGGGAGAGTGATAGAGAGAGGTAAAGACAGAGAGAAACATCGATGTGAGAGAAACACATCGACTGGTTGCCTCCTGCTGGAGCCCCGGCCAGGGCCCAGGCTGGGGAGGAGCCTTTAACCAAGGTACATGCCCTTGACCGGAATCAAACCAGGGACCCTTTGGCCTGCAGGCCGACGCTCTATCCACTGAGCCAAACCGGCTAGGCCCCCCCCCCATTTTTATTATGAGAAATTTCGAGCACATAAGTTGGAGCCTGGAGTGGCCGCTGCTCACACTTGTCCTCTGGCTCCCTCCTCTGCGCCTCTCTCCCATGCAGACACGAGTTGTTGAGAGGAACTCACTGCCATCATCCTCATCTTTTGTTCCTAACCCTCAGCACGTAGCGCCTGAGAACAAAGACATTCTGCTTGTAAGCACGATGCGGCTCACCAGCGAGGGAACAGCGGCGATCCCACAGACACCTAACACACGGTCCGGTCCGAGTGCCTAACCAGCCCCAAGTGCCTTGCGTGGCTCCATTGTTCTGAGCCAGTATCTAACAAGAGTCACACACTCCACTTGGTTTTATCTCTTTCTCTCTCCATTTTTTATTTTGAAAAAAATTACACCTCCAGAAAAATGCATGAATATGCGCCTGGCCCCACCGACTGCTGGCACTTTGCCTCCCTCTCCCCCCCTCCCCAACCCTTGAAGAGTTGGTGGCAGACACACATAATTGTGCTTTTTCATCCGTTGCCATCACTTAAACATCAGGAGAGCTCACTTAGTCTTTGATTTCCAGCTCCTACTGAAAACCCAGAGGCCCCGAGCAGGTCTCCAACACGGAGCAGTCAGCTGCAGTGAGCGGCAGCCGCCCCTCTGGAGGGGCAGTGGGTCTCCACTCTGCCGCTCGCATAGCCCCCTTTGTCCGACACCCCGCCTGCCTCTCTCAGTCACGCAGGTTCAACCCTCCCTCCACTCCAGGCACTCTCCTGGGGAGGATGCCATCTCCCCCTCTGGGGGCTTCTGGCCCATCGTGGGGCGGGTCCTCCACCAGGTGTCAGACTCGGAACTTAGCCTCCCTACCACCAGACTCCCCAAGCCCAATCCCGGCCTCTCAGGGCCCTGAGCACTCTACACAGCACCTGGCCCACAGGGAGCACTCAGTAGGTGTGGCTGCCGGTGTAAGCTTTCTCAGAAGACAGGCACATACATATATGAACAGAATCCCATGCGGTGAAAAAATGGGAACTGACCTACATGCTCAACAACAGGGAACTAACGGATTAGATAATCATTGTGTCCTTAAGATGCAAGAGTCGGCAGCTGAGACAAAGATGCTACATTTAGAAATGACCCAAAAGAACACACACAAAAAAGAAAATTAAAAAAAGTTTTTAAGAACTGACCCAAGTAGCCATCAATAAAGGACCGTATTAAAGGGAAAGGTTAAGTCTAGTCCTCTGCTAGGACATCGTGGGTTTATATGTGGAAAACTAGAAAAATTCATAAGAAATAAGTAAAAAGGCATCCCCTCTGTGTGGAGGCAGATTGTTCCTAATTGCAAATATATATGCATACATATATACATATACATATATATATACATATACATATATATACTTACTTATTCTTACTTTATTTTTATGGGGTGTTGTGTGTGTGTGTGTGTGTGTGTTAGTTTAGAGGGAGAGAGAGGGAGAAACATCAATTGGTTGCCTCTCACCACACACACACACACACACACACGCCAACTGGGGTTCAAACCCCCAACCTGGGCATGTGCCCTGGCTGGGAATTGAACCCACAACCGTTTGGTGCTCCAACCAATTGAGCCACACTGGTCATGACTGCCTGTATATATTTTGTTTTGATTTTGAAACATGTGACTATATTACTTAGCCAAAAATTGAATTAAAAATATCATTAAAGAGCCCTGACCTCTGTTGTTCAGTGGTTAGAGCATCAGCCCACGCAATGAAAGGTATCATGTTCAATTCACTGTCAAGGGCATGTACCGGAGTTGCAGGTTCATTCCTGGCTGGGTGGGAGTGCGTGTGGGAGGCAACCAATCCATGTGTCTCTCTCACATCGATGTTTCTCTCTGTCTCTCCCCCTCCCTTCCACTTTCTCTAAAAATCAATGGAAAAAATATCCTCAGGTGAGCATTAACCAACAAACAAACAAAACAACCCAAATGCCCATCAAGGGTGGGCAAACTGTGGTAAAAGTCTACAATGGAATACTACTCAGTAATGAAAAAGGTACCCTCAATATAGATGAATCTCACAGACAAGATGAATGAAAGAAACTGTACACTAAACAGTATATACCATGTGGTTTCAATGATGTGAAATTCTGGGAACAGCTAGAAGTCAAGGTGGTAGCGACTTCCAGGGGTGGGACACGGCTCAGAGGGGGCAATGGAAACCCTGGCATTATTCATCTTGCCTGGGTGGTGGTCACCTGGGAGTGAACAGCAAGTTTACACTTTAATTAGCAAACGAGTAAGAAGTAACCTGTAGTCCCGTGACTCCGTGCTGCAGCTACCGGTGGGAGCGAACACGGCTTCCGATGGGAGCCGGTGCAGGGGCAGCAGGGGCCTGGCAAGTTCTCTTTCCAAAAAGAAATTGGACCCCGAGAGTCCTGTCCTCTCCCAGCAAGTCCCTGGTCTTGTTGGGACGCCCTTTCCCCATCTTTGGCTTGAATCCAGGCATCTCCAAGGCCTCTGCCTGCGATTCTGCCTCTTGAGGGGCGGTGGCCTTGCGCTCCTATCTCAACCCCACAGCCGGTCACCTGGGCGGGGCCGCGGGGCGCCTCCCCGCGGTCTCGCAGGCCCTGGGCTGCCCCTGGCTCGTCTGTAGTCACGGTACCTGTTTCTCAGCTGAGCTCGCCGAGTCCTCACCGAACCTCCCTGGAGCTCAGCAGGGTTTTGCTAGGCACAGGCCGCGCACGCAGCAAGTGCTGAATAAATGGTGGCTGCGAGGGAATCATTGGACTTTTCCTGCAGATCATGATATCTCTCTAAGGTGGGGTCCGTGTGGGGCCCAAAGTTACCCGTGAATCAAATGCAAGAGGGAAAAGTGGCCTCTGGCGGACGCGGCGCGCGCGGTGTTTGGAGCGCCCAGCGG